CCATACTCGACAGGCATTCCGCGAGGTATTTGAGTACCTGATAGAAGATTTCAAGACATATCGTCCGTTGTTATCTGCAATCAAGAACGAATATGAAATGATGATAATTAATCAGAGGGACAAAATAAGAGAACTTGAACCTTTGAAGGTACTGACCATGAAAAGCTTTCACCACTGCTCTGAAACCAAGGTGCGATAAATTAGGCCCGGTCAGGAGTTTCGGGTATTTGTCAAATGGCAACTGCACGGTTGCCGGTTGAAGCCCTGGGCAAACTAGGAAACATTGTTGTGGAAACATTTGTGATTCTCGATGTTTCCTCAAATGTTTCCCTGTTTGCCCACCCGTGGAAACATTGTTGCGGAAACAAAATTTGCTTCCCGAGAAGCAAAAATGTTTCCTAGCGAATTCAGAAACATTTGATGTTTCCCTATGTTTCTCCGGTCACTAGTTAATGTTTCCTAGTATTTGCCCACTAGCTCTGGGAAACATGGCGAAACATTGGCAGGAAACAATGTTTCCACAACAATGTTTCCACAACAATGTTTCCTAGTTTGCCCAGGGCTTATTACTTCTTTCCTGGGGTCGGTTGGTCAAAGCTGGACTAGTGTTAATCCCCAGTTAACATGTAACCTGCTATTTTAATTTATGTGTTTCCGCACGTCTGTTTATTTCAAACTTCAGAAAAGAAAACACTTGATCCAGAAAAAAATTGTTGAAGAAATATTTCAAAATTTATAGACAAGCTGCTAGGAAGTTTGCTTTGAATTTAGTTTATAACCTTAGGCAATTTAGGTTATAACCTTAGTCTTTAACGTGAACGCTTGCAATAACCAAAGTCAATGTTTCTTTGGTTTTCCTAATGGACCATTCCCCAATTAACCAAAATTTTGATCTCAACAAGTCTAGACAAAATTCCATCATAGCATGAAAGAGCATCACAAAATTAGTAATATTCCAAAGTTTCGTTGCGAAATGTTGTAAAATGCGGATAATATAGCCCTGCGATTGCAAACGGGAAATGGTACCACTTTTCCAAAATTTCGATCTTAACTAGCCTAAACAAAAATTTCATCACAGCTTGAAAGAGCATCACAAAATTAGTAATATTCCAAAGTTTCGTTGCAAAATGTTGCGAAGTTTGTCATTTTCAGTCATTTTGTATTACGCACAGAAGTGGTAACCAATAACCATTTCCCGTTTGTAATCTAAAATGACTGAAAATTGCAAACTTCGCAAGGCTATATTATCCGCATTTTACAACATTTTTCAACGAAACTTTGGAATATTACTAATTTTGTGATGCTCTTTCAAGCTGTGATGACATTTTTGTCTAGACTTGTTGAGTTCAAAATTTTGGTTAATTGGGGAATGGTCCATTAATACTTTTATAATCTCACGATCGTTTCAACTTGAAACATGATCCTTTTCTTCAGGCAATGTTGGTGACAGTTTCTGAACAGTGTGAGAAAACATTGCTAGCCATGAAAGAAGAGGAGAAGGGAGGTAAGGGCAGGCCCGAAACTATAGCGTTTTACGAGTGCCAAAGACGATAGAAACCTACACGCAGGGACGCCGGAACGATGTGAAGGCAAGGGGGGCAGATTTTCGTGAAAGGGCACTTTTGAATTGATATATACTAAGAGATGTTTGCAAAACATCAGGAGTTGAACTTCGCCTAATCATGTTTTCTGTTTATTGGGTGATAGGGGTGTGAGGGGGTTCTCCGCCAGGCGATTGCGCTATTCTTGAAGCTCGATGACTGCATTTCTTGCGTTTTCTGAAGCAAATTCGTAAAAGAATTGCACTAACATTTCTGACAATTCGCTATTTCGCCAAGGCAACCCTTTAAATTGAAAGGGCACCTTTGCCCCCCTTGCCCTTCCTTGTAAAGGGCAACGGAGGCGGCTGCCCCTCCTGCCCCCCTCCCCAGTTCCGGCGTCCCTGCCTACACCGGAATCTGAGGGCATTGCATAGGAAACTCTAAGTTTTGAAAGATTTGTAAGCAATGTTTGACGGAAATGACTCAGTGTTATAAACAATGAGTCATTTCCCTGAAATATTTATTTCAATCAATTCGAAACTTTACCCATGCAAAATTCCTACTGAGTACTGTGATCACAAAAACTTTGATTGTGTAAATGCCTTAAGAATTACAAAATATTTTTGGTCTAACATCAGATGCGTAGTAAATAAGTGTTTGTGGTGATATTTGGGACGCCAACCCACACGTTTGTTATAAGGGTGTTGTGACCCAGAGCAGCCTCTCACTTTTTACTGACTTATGCAGCCACTGCAGGCATCTGTTTTCATTCCGAGTTTTCTTTCTCTGAACTTGAAGTGTTTCTGTTTTATATTTTTTCACGAAAATTCTTGCCGAGTCGTCGACTGACTCGGTTCACTCATACGGGTCTGGAAGCGGGGGAAATTTTTCTTGTTTTCAAATTGTGATGTTTTGTTCTCAGAGAGGTATAAAAATGAATTAACTTTTCTTTAGATTTGCAAGACATGAAACGAGAAAATCAAAGATTACAAGGAGTTATCAGCTCTTTCAGGTGAGTTTTGAAAGTAATCTTAGTTTTCCTTGCGCACTATAGTCTTTGATTGTTTCCGTTTAAATATATACACTGTGTTCTGGAATATTTCTAGAGAAAACCAACTCACGCTCAATGCACAAGTGGTGAAGGTAATTCAATGTCAAAATCCAACATAAAATCATTGACTAAACTTTGATCTAGGCAAGAAGAACAAAATCCATCACCACAGCTAGAAAGAGCATGTTACAATTAGTAAAATTGCAAAGTTTGGTTGCGAAATGTTGTAAAATGCGGAAAATATAGCGCTGCGAAATTTGAAAATTTTGTATTAATTTGTATTATTATACATTGTGGTTGGTAAAAGCAATTTGATTGGCTAAGAGCTTACAGTTAAATCGCGCAATCACGCAACCTACACACTGAAATATCTGCTAGCAGATAACTCAGTTATCTGCTAGCAGATAACTGAATTTTGTGTAGGTTGCGTGAAATTGAATGAGTGTACATTTCAATTTTCAAATGAATGTACATTTCATAATTGTAATGTTTACTTTAACAAGTAAATATTCAGTTAATACGTTAACATCTTAACGATAATATGTTTCTTTTATATTTGTAATTAATTTAACTGTAGGACTTCCGGAGACTTGTTTATAGAAACGTTTTACTTGAACAGCTTTGCCAGAAATCATATTGAATATAACGCTTACCGAGACCTTGACAATTTTGCATATCGCAAAAACCGAATTCAATAATTGTTAATTACGCGCGGGAAAATGCACCACATTTGGCCCGAAATTGGTGCATTTTCCCATGCATAATACAAATTAATACAAAATTTGCAAATTTCGTAGGGCTATATTTTCCACATTTTTACAACATTTCGCAACCAAACTTTGCAATTTTCACTAATTTTAGATGGTCTTTCTAGCTGTGGCCAAATAAAAAAATAGCTGGTTTCAGGTTTCACAGCCATGTTTTATATGGGTAGGTCGGAAAGACATTTTATTTTAAAAATATTTTATATCAAGTATGCAATAACAGGATAACCCGTGAGCTACATGTTTTTCGCGAGAAATAAACGCATCAAGGTGTTTTCGCCTTTTTTCAGCAGTAGCTGCCATTTCAGATACGTTTTTAATATTTTATTCAACTGTTCTTTGTGTAAAACTAGGATTAACATGACTGTATGATTAAATTATAAGCAAACAAAATAATTTGTAGATCAACAAGTCTAATGACTATTTATATATTCGGCTATTTACGATCTCTACTGGGAAAAGTCAATAAAATGTTTATGGTCGGTCATATTTTTGACAGGTCGGTCGGAAACCTGAAACCAACTATTATTTTTATTTGGCCTGTGCAGGTAATGGATTTTGTTCTTCTTGCCTAGATCAAAATTTAGTCTGTATAGTTGGAATCATCCATTTACAAATTTGCCGAAGTTTCGAACTTCCAAAAAGTATCAAACTCAGATATCGTTGTTGTCAAATTTAGCTTCAACAAGAGTTAGCAGCAGAATACTTGAAGTACAGAAATGAATGTGATGCAAGGAAAATGTTGATTGCAGACATGAACGATCTGCGAGCCCAACAAGAAGACGCGAGCAAGAACTCCATGTTGGAAACAGAGAGTGTGGATGGAAAGAAGGAGGATGCAACATTTCTGAGACTTGCTTTGAAGTTAGTATAAATATAATCGTTTACTTTATGAAAAGCAAGGGCGGATTTTCATATTTTTTAAAGGAGCTAGAGGTGGAAAAATTTCTAGTGGGGTGTAAGTGGTACCACTGAGCGAGCTTCGGCAGGGGTTAGGGTTAAAGACCTTCACACAAAATAGGAGGGGTGAAGCAAAATTTTGGTGGGGTTGAACACTTTATAAGAGAGTTAGAGAGATTCTAGGGGGTTTATCCCCTCCTAACCCCCAGTAAATACGCCCATGGTGAAAAGTCCCGGGAAAAGTATAAAACGTTGTGGAAACCTTGTTTCCCAGCCATGTTTCCCAAAGGTCAGACAAATCAAGAGACATTACAATGCTTCCTAGCCATGTTTCCAAAATGTTGGCAACTACAACAAATAGCAGGCTGGCATCAGACATGTGAAAAGCAGTGGCGGACACTTATTGCGTGGAGGTGGGTTGCTCCCATATGACCAACATTCAATAAATGTTATATCAACTTTGAAACAAACCGGGTACGAATTAGAATAGACAATTTCCATTATAGACTAATTTTAAAACATAAATCACCACAGCTAGAAAGAACTTACTAAAATGAGTAAAATTGCAAAGTTTGCTTGCAAAATGTTGTAAAATGCGGCAAATATAGCCTTGCAAAGTTTGCAAATTTTGTATACTTTTGTATTGCGTGCGGAAATTGCTACCATTTTCGGCCCAAATACAAAAGTATACAAAATTTGCGAACGTATTTTCCGCATTTTACAACATTTTACTCATTTTAGTATGCTCTTTCCGGGAATATACTTTTTTGCCAAGATCAAAAATTAGTCTATAATAGGATTGGTCTATTGTTCCAAGCTCTTTGCAAACGTCAGATAAAAAGGTTAGGGTCGGTGATTTCAGGGGCCAAAAGTACAGGTAGGATCGGAAAACCGGGAAACCAGGTGTCTTCTTTTGCCTTGCTGATATTCAAAATTTCATTTGTATCAGAAAAGCGCGAGAAGATATAGAAATCAAGAACCAGAAGCTTGCTCAAATGGAGGCAGACTACGGTGATGTCGTACCAAGACGAGATTATGAAAGATTAAACGAACGTTTCCAAATGTTAGAAAAAGATTTAGAGAAAGTGAGAAAAGATCAAGAAATGCTCATGAAGGAACACAGGTACAGATTCGCAAAACCACTGTAGTAATTTTCTGAAACTGTTTGCCTTATAATGGTCACTATGTTCAACGATAAAGGGCCATACCATTTAACATTCACCCCCCCCCCCCCACCCCATGGTTGAATTTTTCTGGAGGGTGATCCCGAAATCGTTTCTGAGGGGTTAAGACTGTTATCATCCTTGGATTTTGTTTTTTTTTGTTGGCGCTTTGAACTGTTTTTTTTGGGGGTTAAAATTTTAATGACCACATTCATAGGAGGGGGTGGGGGCGGGGCGGGGTGGGGCGTGGATGTTAAATGGATGGCTCAACTCAATGATGTTCAAGACTCTCTCCTTGACGAGTAAAATCGTCTGGAGTTCAACGGAGTGAAATAATAAACTGGGGTAGCCACATTGGAACGCATGCCACTTAATGGGTTAAAACGTGGGGGTTGTCAGTGCAGTAATTAATTTACACATCGTCATTTTTAGCACCCTCTTGGATGTTCAACGCAAAACAGAAGATGAACGCAAAGAATATGCGAAGGAATGTGAAAACATGCGACGTTGTGCAACACCAAGGTACACAACACGCAAAAACGCACAGGTTGCAAAAACCTGCAGCAGACTTATACCAATGCTGTTCCAACAACTTGTCAACAGGATGTGTTCGCACTGCTTGTCCCAGTTTGTTGCCAAGTTGTCAACGCCTTGTTGACAACTTGCTACAAGGTTGTTGAGCTCAACAGACTCGTTCCAACTTGTTCCAAGAACTTGTCACCGTTCTGCAATTCAACAACTTGTTGACTTGTTGTGAGTGACAACCTTGTAGTAACTTGATAAAATAACAGCATTGTTACAACTTGTTGACAAGTTACTCTGATGGGGTGTTTTCCCTGGGGTCTTGAACAACAATAAAACATACATACAGCATCTCCTTCTTTACAACTCCATCGAAAGTTCTGGCCATGTTCAATCTTTGTTACTTGTCAGGTTAGGTACCCTATATATCATTTCCCAGGAACTGGACAAGTTTTTAAGGTCCATTTCCACTCAGGAAAATTTTCCACAGAAAGAAAATTTTGTAAAATGTGATTGGCCGACACAAATTTTCCGTCGGAAAAAAATTTGAAGTTGAAAATTTTCAACTTTAAACAATGATATTTTGGAAAATTTTCTGTCTGGGGAAATTTTTCTTGAGAAGAAATGGGCCTTTCCCCTTCCTAATCGCAAGCCTGTTACTAAGATCCACGACTACAGTCTTAGTCATCTTAAGGATGGGGAGTTGTGTTCACCAGGATGTCAATGACCTCTCATTGTTTTACAGGCCTAGATGGGCAAAATGTGGTCAGTATATCGAAGGTGGCGAGGAACGATGGAAGGAATTATCAAGTGATAAAACCAGTGATGACATGGTTGATATATTACTGGCAGAAATCACCGGCACAGATATTGCTGTCATACAAGCTGGCTCGAACACCGCCGAGGAGTTCTTGGAAGGACAAGTAAGTTAGAGTTTTTTTTGCATAGAAATAATAGATATCTATTATTTCTGTGGCTTTTTATCAAGCTCTGAGCTTCAAGCGAAATCTGTTACATCAAAGAGTTACATACATAATTTTATGAATAAGTATACCCCCGAGAACATTTTTCAGGTGACACCCTTTAGATAGACACAACCATACTTGGCCACTAAAAGCAATCCATTGCAAGAGTAATTTCTTAACTAAATCAGGTTCTCTTCACAAAAAATACAAAAAAGTCGACCATGCACTGATTATAGAAAACGGTGCATTTCATTGATTTTATCGCACACAATTCTTTGGAAAACACTCGAATATTTTTATTTATATTAATTTAATGAGTCAAGAATTTCTCACAACAAATGTTATCGCTGCACATTTTTACTGTTTATCACTGTCACACACATTCACTTTATCACTGCATTGGTGGTTATCAACTGCACACTAAAATTAGGTATGAAGACTAGTTACGCCGTGCACTGTCTTGGGGCAAGGCTTGTTTGTTGCTATAGTTCATGTGATATTTCAAATAAAATGCGAGGACTTGAAATGTAGTCCAGTCCGAATTGGAGGATTTGAAATGACATCTCATACGAATATATCACTACTTAAAGGCACAGTTCAGCCTGTTGAACGATGGTTTTTAAGGCGCAATTCAGCTCTTTTAATTGAAAAAACTAACTAGGAAAATCAATTAAGCATAATTCAAGATCACCAAACTCAATGTTTTTAACATTTAAAAACATTTTTATTGGTAAAAACATCGAGTTTACTGATTTTGAATTATGCTTAATTGATTTTCCTAGTTAGTTTTTTCAATTAAAAGGGCTGAAATGCGCCTTAAAAACCATCGTTCAAAAGGCTGAACTGTGCCTTTAAAGTGAGGTGAATTAATTTTGATCCAGTCCAAGGACTGAATTAATTTTGATGATCAATATACTTCACAGGTATCCAGTATTATCATGTGAGCAAAATAAAGCAATATGGTTGGCTAATTTACGCATGAATTATCAATGAGTTTGAGATTATATTTTCCTTACACAGGGCACAGGGACCAATATTCCCAAGTATCTGCGCTATGAAGGGAAAGTTCGAAACAGAAGAATTAGTAAACGAGATGCGTTATTGTTAGTAAAAGATGTTTGGCAAGAAAGACTATCTTCTGAAATCGAGGTAATACGACAAATTTTTACAAACTTTTTCTGTTACAAAACCGAATTTGAAATTAAAGTTGGATTTGAAATTGGAAATAAAGTTTTTTCAGTTTAGTTTCAATCTCGTATCCATAGGAATGCCCGTTCGCAGGTCAGGTCATGTCCAGCATCTAACCTGCGAACGGGCATACACTGGGTACGAGATTGGTTTAGTTAAGGTTCCCTTCTGTGGTCGACATTGGATCAATAGCGATGGCTCAATGCTGGATCTCTAGGGAGAACAGTTTAGAACTGATAGAGCTATCCAGTATAAATAAAGTTAGTTTTATAGTTTAGGTTTCTTCCTGTAGTAACACTGGATCAATAACGATGGCCCTATGCTGGATCTGTAGGGAGAACAGTTTAGAACTGATAGAGCTATCCAGTATAAATAAAGTTAGTTTAGGTTTCCTCCTGTAGTAACATTAGATCAATAACGATGGCCCACAAAGCTATTCAGTATATATTAAGTTAATAGTTCCCTTTTGATTCATATTTCAATTTCTATTCACATTAACTTTTTCCCGACTCGTTTCTCACAGACGACAGACCCAGAATACGAACCGCTCTCGAGTTTCCTACACTCGTATCTGGAACGTCGTTTTGGCGCGGAGAGCATGACCTTTGAATGGGCGTACAACTTACAGGATGCTTGTGTGCGATATCAACATGATCCTAGGATTGGCTTGTTTCATGGAATACTTTCTGGTGAGGTAGGGAGATTCTTGGAAAATTTCGACGCAGTAAAATGTCCTTTAACTATTGGGCTCTGGCAAGTGACGTCACACGTATTTGTTGACTTCCGCCATTTTAGGGGCAAATTAAAAATAGTTCATTAAAAGCAAACATGGCGTCAAAGTAAGACTTGCCAAATTAAGACTGCGGCTGTTGCTTTTGTTTGACCACTTTGAAAAGTTATAAATTATAAAGGTCCACAGCTGTATCCAAAATGGTGGATTGTCATATCATCAAAAATAATCCGCCCTCTTCTATGCCCATTGACTCACATTTTAATTTTATATACCTCGCAATATAGTCATTGGAACAGAGGTAGCCTGCGCAGGGCATGGGGCAAAACTTACCCAGGGCCCAGGGGAACCTATGGCGTCATAATTGTAAAACAGGAGAAGCCGTGTTTTACAATACATTGCACTTTATTGCATATTCTCCGGCACTGGCGCAACTAAGGTTTATATTTTCGGTTAAGCAATCCTGTATCAAAGAACGCTGTCGCTTTGGGGTCCTCTTTTGAGTTGGGGGCCAGGGGCAAAATGACCCTCCCCCCGCCCATCTCGGCGGCACTGGCCTAGCATTTTCAGTACGCATTAGCAATTTAGGGCTACATGATTTCAAATAATTTTTCCACTCTTTTTTTAGGTCGATGAAGCATTGTATCATGACCAACGAGCTATGTTTAAAAAACTTTCTGATGCTTTAATGGCCGCTGATCCTGGAGATAGCGACGATGTTAGTGTAACAGTTTATTACATTGTGTTATTTTTTTCTCAATAATCTTCCCCCGAGGAGGAAGTGACAGAGTAAAATAAAGATGGGTTAATTATATATAGAGCAAGATACATGGGCTGATGGTCTCGTTAACTCATTAATGCCCAAGACTTCTCAGTACTTAACTGTTGAACTTTATTTTATTTTATTTTCCTTCCCTACGCTTTACGCAACTGTATTTTACCTTTCTATAATGTCCTTGACATTACTTCACTTTTTCTGTTAAGCATTGTATTTTATTTTGATTCTCTTAGTGGAGTGTTCCCAAACACGTGTTCGAGTCGTGCGTTCGTAAATGTTTTCCTGTGTTCGGCGAGCAAGCCATTGCGGATTTAATGAAGTTAGCAGAGAGCGAAACGTCAGGAGAAAATGTTCTTTACAAAAATATCTTGAAAGAAGATGATGAAGGAGGGATGACGCTGTTTGTGGATAAAATATTCGACTTTGATAGAATGGGAAGAATTGCTTATGTCAGAGAAATTGAAAATAATTTGGATGGAAAAAGGTATGGTATAAGGTTAACAACACTATAATATATTTTGTTTGTGGAAACACCCCGTAAATTTATTACTGCAAAGTTTAACATGCAGGTAACAATGTTGAAAAATATTGTTATCTAGCTTCACAATAGCTTTTTAAGGTTAACACTATAGAAGAAAATAGTGAAATCCATACATCACTAAATTCATAGTATATCCATATTATTTCCATACTATATCTACAGTGTGGAAATTGCAATTAGTATGAAAATTGGATTTCCAAACTATTTCTAACGAAGATCCGGCATGATTTTGAAAAACTTTCCAGTGTTACGCCTGCATTCTAAAAGCTCACTCACATTCAAAGAGAGGAGGTTCAATCTGAGCTTTCCCTTGAGTGTCAATGCAGTTTTTGAATAGCTGGAGGGTGAGTAGTCACATAGTAAGGTACGACACTAACACTCCAGCTATTCAAAAACAGCATTGACACTCAAGGGAAGCTGGGATTGAACCTCCACTCTTTGAGCGTGAGCTTTTAGAATACGGGCGTTAATGTTTATAATCTGAATGCGGAAGGATTTTGTTGATGGGAATATGAGATTTTTATTGAATTTTTTTTACCAATTTCTCTAAACGTTTAGCGACGTTAGCGAGGGTGAATTGAGACAAGCATTTATGAATGTGGATCCTGACCTGCCCGTGTCAATATTAGACCAATACGTAAGTCGAGCGTTTGCCGAGAACGTCACGAACGCCGACGACACAATAGACCGAGCGACAGTGATTCGAAGACTTCAAACTGGTAGCATACGGCGGTACGTGAATAAGGTCAAGGAATGATATCGCTTTTATAGCCTTCTTTATAGTACATCAATATGTGTATATATTGTACAAAATACTGCAGTTTTAACATTAAATTGAGCTAAATCTTGAGATCCAATATGCGTGGGTCCTCTATTTAGGCCGCGAAGACGTGACCGGATAATCGTACACTTGAAGGATTTTCCCACGCACATTAGCATTCTGACATATTGTTTTTGATGTTACTCCGAGTGTATATCCACACAGGGCAGGCTGAATAGTTAGCCTGGCCACGGTGGGAATCGAACACGCGACCTTCACAGGGTTCGTAGTCTCCAAGACCAAAAAAATTCAAAGACTTTCAAAGATTTTTTCTGACTATTTCCAAAGACTTTTCAAAGACTTTTGAGAGCAATCAGCTGTCGAAAAATTGCGAGTGTAAGCACCATTTTTACCCAGTAATTTGTCCCGTCAAATCACATTCTAAAATGCGCATTTTTGAATTTTGGCGATATTTGCGAAAATCTTGATTCAATCAATCTATTTTATTAGCTAGGAAATCGTATAATCAATTCCCCACTAAAGAATTTAAAGACTTTTAAAGACTTTCTTCGCTTTTTGACACAATTTAAAGACTTTTCAAAGACCTCAAAGACCTGCATTCCAATTTAAAGACTTTCAAGGATTTCAAAGACCGCTACGAACCCTGCTTCAGCCTGTAACATCAAAAACATTATATTCACCTGAGTATACAGAACATCAAAACACACACAAAAAATATTCTGACATATATGTTGAAGGATTTTATGGAAATTTCGAGTTTAAATTTTATACATTTATTTAGAAATATATAGCTATGTAGAAACAGCTGAGAAAGTTTTCGCAGCTGTTTTTCGTCAGGTCCAAACAAATGTGTGAAGGGCCATTTCCACTCAAGAAAAATTTCCACGCATAGAAAATTTTCCGAAAATATCATTGTTAAAAGTTGAAAATTTTCAACTTCAAAATTTTTTTCCGACGAAAAATTTGTGTCGGCCAATCGCATTTTACAAAATTTTTTATACTCGGAATTGCCATCTATAAAACCTTTCAACATTTGTCATTAGTTCAATCATAATAGCCTATCGAAGGGAAGATGGCTGTGAAACTCATTAGAATAACAATATAACTCATTATCTACGTTAGCCAACGTTTATTCATAATTACATAATACGGTCCTTCACCGTCACGTGTGTATTGTATTTTTGCCAAATCCACCAATAGCAATGTCCCCTATTGTTCGAGTCACGGATGGGTAACTTTCCAAAAACATTGCTATTGGTTAGTTGGGCAAAAATACAATACGCACGTGACGGTGAAGGACCAGGAGCTCGCCAAAATAATTTTTCCGGAAAAAATGTTTTGGTACTAGTCGGGCAATTTTCTTTCCGCCCCCCTAATTTTTTCCTTCCGGTACGCCCATGGCAGGGCATCACTGGTTTTGGCAGGGCAATTCTGCCAGACACCCCCCTAATTAAAAGGGGCTAGTTTCGCCCCTGACTGAGTGTGCATGCATCAACACCGGGCAGGCTGAAAAAAGTTTGCCTGACCACAGTGGGAATCGAACTCGCGACCTTTGGGATACTAGTCCAATGCTCTACCAACTGAGCTACGAGGTCAAGTCGGTTCGAGTTGGTGATGTTTCGGAACTGGGTAAGATATGATACATTTTGTGTGTGTTACTTATATGAAAGCATCAATGATATCAATGTATTCTAAGATATCGATATCCAAGGAACACGACTCAGTTCCGAAATATGTACATTGACATCGAAGGAAGTTCAAGGAACTAGACTCAGTTCCGAAATCACCAACTTGACCTCGTAGCTCAGTTGGTAGAGCATTGGACTAGTATCCCAAAGGTTGCGGGTTCGATTCCCACTGTGGTCAAGCACACTTTTCAGCCTGCCCAGTGTGGATGCATACTCAGAGTAACACCACAAACATCATATTCACCTGAGTACATAACACCAACACACACAAAAAGTATCATTTTTGCCACTCTGCAACACATTTTTTACTATTCCACATGACTGTAACAAACTGTGTCTTATGTATGGTATTATAATACATATCTCTTTACCTTTTAACTTTACCCTGACAGAGAGACCTTCACTTACTTATATGTTATCATTTTTACAGGACATTAGTTAATCCATACTATTATTATCAATGTACAAGACATTTCCCTTAATCCCTTCACAGGTAAAATGAGGAGGGCATATTAGTACCACTGCTTAATTGGGTTAGTTTCTTGAAATTAAGACTACAAATTTATTTCTATTTACAATATTTTTTTACAATGTAGGCTAATCGACCTAAAATATAGTTTATCATGATATTTATACAAATCTGAAATGGCAATAGTCAATGGGTGATATGCCAGCTTGTGAGCTAATTTGATACAAATTGTTATTGACTACTTTATGATGGATGTTCTGGGCATGATCTGTTCTTTTTAAACCATATGTCAATGCACCTTGAAGAATTAATGAGAGACAAATGTAAAAATATGTAGGTGTTTGACGAAAGAGTGCACAAAAGACTTGGTGAACGGATCAGAACATGCAGTATGGTGGTAGAAATTGCGGCTGAGATGGTATATCAAGACGAGATGAAGGAGATGGTCTGATCGAGATGTTACATCAGAAAATGTGCGGAGTTGGGTAGACATTGCAGAGAAGGTATGCACATGTAATAAGAAGAGATAAAGGAGAGCTGGTCAGAGACATTATGTAATGAAGAGATCAGAAGATATGGGGAGAATGGACATTGTAGAAATGGTTAGGAAATTTAGAGATGGTATGGATATGCTACAGCAGTTGCTGTTACTTTCTTCAGGATGAGTGCTGGAGGTAAACATTTTGTGAGAGGGGGGACAGGGATGCACACCCTCCCTCACTTTGGAAGTATAAAATAAAGATGTATAAATATCTCAATTGACTTACTTTTTGTGATATATACACAAACATGGTAACCTTGCAATTTTCTCACCTAAAAGTATGCAAAAATTATACTGTTAAATAGCAAGGGGTTTTCAGTGTATTTTGTGCTTTGTATGGTATATGTGTTTAACATTACTTTGCTATATGTATATATGGTAATAGTATTGATTTATCCATGAATATTGTATTGATTTATTCATTGTTCTGGTAATTGGAATTAAAACAACCCATAATGATAATCAGTAATTTCTAATTGTGCCTGATTAGATATAATTATTAATTATTATTAATAATTATAACTATTATTAATAATTATTATTATTTATTATCTTTTTATTATATAAGTCCATCAATATCTATCTTATGAATGGTTAATATTTACCAGCTACTAAGTCCTCCAAACATATAACACATTCTCCAGCGTCTTGTGTTAAAATATCAGCTATATAAAGCAGTAACAAGTTACAAATAAGAATTATTTAATCCTTTAAGTGGTGATGATATTACTCATCCAGAAAAGATCCATACTCCCCCACGGAGGAAATTTCTGCAGTCCGGAGGGGGATGGGCAGAAAAACTTGTTTCTGAAAATAGTAAATTTATTAGGTCATCCGAAACACAGAATAGGAAGTTATACCAGAAGCGTAACTCTAGTCGTTTCCCTTATTGTTTGACGTCCACGAAAATTTTAACTCGCTCACGTCAGGCCACGCCATCCTGGCTAGTACAGCCGGAAGTTTTATCAGGATTTGGTAGGTACAAAGTGCCGGTTGTACTAGCCAGGATGGCGTGATTGATGACGAATCGCTTGTAAAAACGCGGACAAATATTTGCTCGAGTTACGCTTCTGGTATAACTTCCTATTCTGTGTCCGAAAGGAGTAGAAGGTTAACTTTCAATTTCTTCTGCCGGGAGATATGGACCCAATCATGCATATAACCCTACCTCCTCCGCAGGCCTTTCGATGCGGGCGGGAATAATTTGCGGGAGTGAAATTTGAGATCAGGGAAGAACGGAAGGCGACGAAAGGCCTGCTGAATAATAGTCGGTTCCTGGGCAGAAGTGACGTTTCCCGGGTATCGGTTTTCAATCCTTAAAAATCTTCGTGAAATATGAACCATCCTATCCCAAAACAATTGTCCCGTGTATGGTAGAGTATTTGTGATACTTCAGGGCAGTCATGGCCGAAAGCAGCGACAAACAGAGGGAAAAATCGAGGATTTCGACGATGTTGACATTCTTAATAATATGTCATTCTGTGAAATGGAAATATGTATGTATTTTACCTGATTAAATATCATGTAGATCATTGACGCGTTTTATAATGCAATTCATAACAAGCAGTCGTAACACAATGATATCGATCGTTATGAACAGGACACGCTTGAATAACGCCATATGTTGACAATTATGTTGTGCTCGTCGTTCGACGGCAGCGATGTGGATACTCTCAATATATCGTTTTCTGAAATGGACTTGGTATGTAGATTTTTGTTGTAATGGAGATTCTACATGCAGACATTGTGTTATTATCACTCAAAAGACAAAGAACAAGAGAACAATGAGACGCTATATTACTTCTATTTACACTGTAAATGTATATTTTTAATATGCAAATATAATTTCACCATATTTATCTTTCAAATTGTGCTTTTAATGTTTCATGCAGACTGATATTTGAATCTTATCTAAAGTATTTGGAATGGCTTATCATAGGCTTAGTCGCAAAATATGTAGAAAGCGGATATATAAATATCGTTGATGTTGTATTTGCATTGGCATAATTTGTATAAACACTTTATATTAGACAGTCTCCATTGTCATAGAAAAGCGGCGGCTAGTTATAAGTACTTTTTAGTCTGCCAAGACCACTGGATGCTATTTCAAAATATTATTTAGATCTATTAGATCAGTGCTGGTATGTATATTGTATATTAAGTCATAATAGTAAAGTCAAAATGAAAATTTCGATTTATAGCATACGCCATCTTGAAAACATTACTCGGCAGGCGCTCTCGCCTGCAACCCGCATTTTCCGAACCTGCCCGAAATGCTCCCTAAGCGCCTGCGGAGGAGGTAGCATATAACCGGCAATATGACATTTCTAGCAATGGAACATTGGCAGCTAAAATTAATATAATCTTTTCTTGAAACTGAAGTGAAGTTTGCATATATTTCTCCCTTCGTTCACTCATATAACCCCAATTATACTATCAGGCTTATCAGCCCTTGTATAATTGGAATTTTCATATGGCAAGTTTTATTTACTTGCATATCTTTGGTTTTCTGACTGTCATGATCTATAGCTACTGTATTATTATGCAAGTGCTCACATTACTTGGCCAAATTTTCTTTGTTGACCCCCATACAGACAAACAAAACTTGTACATTGCCAATTTTTATAATGACAAGTGCACCTGTTCAGAAGACAAGTGTAACTGTCATATTAAAAATTGGCAGATTTGCCTATACAGACAAGCAAGTTAAACTTGTAGAAAACTTGCTTGTCCGTAACCGGCTTTAAGACCCTAACAGGGGCATTAAATGTGGGGCAACCTCAAAAATGACTTAATTAATGCAAGGCAGGGGAGCGAAGGGGACTGTCTGATCTATAGCCACAAACCAGCTGTCACAATATCGGATTATTCAAGCACTCAGCATTGAATAATAGTATTACCCATATTGTGTCTAATATTGCCTTATAATTCTGTGTATCAAAAACCTAGTACCCTGCCATTAATCTATCTAAGAATTTCGACATTTTCAATTTGTAAACATCCTGTTTTCTTATCAAGCATGGCTATTAACTTCCCGGAAAAAAACGGTCTTTTTTACAACCTAGCATACTAAACTTTGAACCAAATAAGGCGGTTCATATGCAAGTACAAAATAGACAATTAATACACCATACCGTTGTAGGAGAGACGCGGTTTCGTAAGACACAATACAAAGTGTAATTCTACATCTTCCGACTGCACAAATTTTGAACAAACAGGACATCGTAAACCTTAAAAATTCATAGTGAAAAAGTTAGATTATACAACATATTGTTTGCCCGGTAAGCCATTAAAATATTACATAATATTAAACATGCATTTTTCATTTTGGCTTTTTATACAGGAAAGCACAACCGCAAAAATATAATTTGCTGGTCAGTACAATAGTTTGCAATAAAATCATATCTTTTCAAGATCCTCTCTTACCGTGCAGGGCAAAAAGTTGCCCGGGCAAAGAACGGGCTTGAAGCATCGACACGCCATTTGAGTTACCACCAGAACTGTTTTCGTTTGACGAAATTTCAAGCGCTTGTAATCGTCTTGTAGGAATCGATCTGGACTGAGGTTCACCTATTTCTAAAGATCGACTTCGATTTCTATTAGAAACGTTTATTTCTCCTCTATTTTGAATGTCATTGGCAGTTATGGAACTCGGATGATTCCGCCTGTTGGGACTCGATAATTTTGTACCCATTGTCCGAGCAATGTTCGCGAGCAAAATGCGCGCTTTTGTCACTTTTTGTTGTTTTAAAACGATCTATGTTTTCTTGAAACCATCACGAACTACATATCCGGTCGATCGTACCCCCAAATCGTCATTAAACAGTGACTTTAAGCCATCTTGAAGCCCAATGCCACGTTAGTTTCGAAATGTTTTGATATGTTTGTTTTCGACACAAGAACCACACTGTGACGTCACACTAATTGTTAGAGTTTTACAACCAATCAGATGAGCCGTATGAGCGGCATTGCGACGTTCGATCGTTCGATAGATCATCAGCAGATTATCAAATATCGGGTTTGCGGGCTAATACATGGGCTCTTCGAAATTTAGTTATAAACTAGGTCAAGAATACTTTTGTCTTTCAGATTAAAAATAAATTAGAAATATCTTTGCGAGAAAGGGTTACACAACACAGAAGAAATGAATAAAACTAGTTTTATGAAGAGAAAAAAATAAAAATTGGAACAAGCCCGATAGGGGACTCGAACCCCTGGCCCTCAGATTAAAAGTCTGATGCTCTACCAACTGAGCTAACCGGGCTGCTCGAATGCTTGTGTAAAACTATGGCATATAAAGAGTTTCTTCTTTGAACTGTATTTTTGTTTTCTTTTCGTATTTTATATTCAAAATGGACGAAATAATCAAAGTGTTGAAAAGGAGTTTCGAAGCAGTTCAAACGACTGTTAAACAGTGGGAAGAGACGCAGAAAAGTTCAAATGGTATTGTCGAATCGTTGTTAAATCTCAGCGAGCAGCTACAGTGCTGTGAAGAGGGGAGTTATGAACATGAACTGAGAAATGAATTTCCAGACCTAAAGTCACGTGTGTTGTTTAAAATTATGAAAGTTTTGGAAGGAAAAATGGAAAAACTTCGTGAAGTATTGTGAGTAAAGGCTGAGTGGGTTAAGCCTTTGTTTCTAACCATGTTTTATGCTTGCTTGTAATGTAGAGTAGTGGCCATAAATCCTGGGGGACGGGGGGACAAGCCCCTGCCCCCCACTTTTTGCCCATTCATAAATTGCATCTGTTGGCCCCTACTGTATGCAATGGTTTTTCTCCATTGATTAATTCATATTATCTTGTGCTGTTTCCTTTCACCCTCTCCCCCACCTATTGACAAGTGCATTGGGCATTACTATACACCTGATTGGCTGATTGGAAAGTTTGGAAATTGCACGGCTGAGAGTTTGAAAATTTAATAGTAAATTAGTAAATATAAAGAAAGCATACAAACTCTCCACACTGGACCATGTTTCCCCACTCCCCCAACATTGCTAGGTTAATGCAGAGAGTCCATGTGCCACTCCACCTTACATGGCCATCTACCCTGTCACCTTATTGGTCCACTCTTCTCATGCATGATCCAGAGAGCCCTTCCCAACACAGGTCCCTACCTCCCCTCCCACCATATTCCCCATATTCTCCCACCTTATTCCCCCTTTCCCACCATATTTCTCCTTTCCCACCATATTTCCCCTTTCCCACCATATTTCCCCTTTCCCACCATATCTCCCCTCTCCCTCCATATCCCCCTCTCTCACCTTATTTCATTATAGAGACTCCACCCAGTCCAGTGCAGGGAGCCCCCTTCCCACCCCCCTGCTTTGGTAGTTTTGCTTCCCACTCAAATATGTTCCAACCTCAAATATATTAATTCAAATGGACTTTTAATTTTTCTGCAGACAAACATTTGAAAGACTCAAAAATAATCTGCAGAAAGTTCGAAACACAGTGTTTCAAGTTTATACAGAATATTCAGGTAAACTTTCAGCAACCATTTTTAGTAAATATTTTAATTAATGAAAAAACAAATAACGAACACTCCAAACAATTTCATTTTGTTATCAATGAAAATGAAATCAGAAAATGAAAATAAAATTGTTTGGACAATTTCTGATTTTTTCAACAAACCAAAAATTGAATGGATTTTTTTCAGACAAAGTTGACATTGAAAATCTAACCACAGGCAGTCCAACTTTCCCTCCATACGTTTTGATGTTTGAATGGATTATGGATATAACTAGATGGTACAATAATTTGTATCCTTTTTGTGAAGATAGGTTGAGCTGAAACATCTCAAAAAGTGGGAGGGCGGGGGCACTGCCAAAACAGGGAAACTTTCTTTCACTCAGGTAAGGGGTAAGGACATATCAGTTAGGGTGGGAATACATGTCACCTGTTGATTTTGAAAACAAATAATGTACTGCTGCTTAAAAACTTTGCCATGTCATTTTTGGGGTTTTGTTATTGTTTTTACCTTTTGCATGTTTTACCTTTTACATGTTTTACATTCATGTTTTTTTCTAGGTAGTCAGATTCTAGGTAGTTAGATTCATGGTTTTTAAGTGGGATGATAAAATATCTCAATTATGGTACAAAAGTAAAAAATAAGCATTGCCTGAAGATGATTTACTTGATGCAAGTTCGTAGCTGTGATTCTGTAATACTTTGCCAAACACAACCTGGAACAAAATTCTCCACAGATTTAAATTTTTCACATTAACTTTTTATCTTAAAGTTAAAGAAAGACTTCCTGTCTTTCATCTCGCTGATAATTTAGCATATCAAGCAGGGTGCGATCATTCAAGATTTCTAGTCGTACCCGACTGGTACGCCAATGGTTGTTGCCGCGTACTTGCGCTAGTGCAAACTCAGTACTCAATGTGGTCCAATGTGTACTTACACTCTTTAAAAATAAGGTTCATAAAGTACAGGTTTCTGAAAAGTATGTTCAGACTACGTGTACGATATAGCAAACGGAGTTTTGCTATTTGAAAAAGGAGTTTTGCTATTTGAAAAGGGAGTTTTGCTATTTGAAAAGGGAATTTTGCTATTTGAAAAGGGAATTTTGCTATTTGAAAAGGGAATTTTGCTATTTGAAAAGGGAATTTTGCTATTTGAAAAGGGAGTTTTGCTATTTGAAAAGGGAATTTTGCTATTTGAAAAGGGAGTTTTGCTATTTGAAAAGGGAATTTTGCTATTTGAAAAGGGAGCTTTGCTATTTAAAAACGGAGTTTTGCTATTTCAAACGACCGACTCCAACGTTTCTTAGTGCCATCAGTGCAATCATGTTTCATGCCAATACATCTCAGACACATGATATACCAACTAAATTACGGTATTGAATACCTTGGACTTGGAAAGGTCATGTGCTACCAGCAAAAAATAAGTACGCAGATAGCAAGAGTTCCGCGTACCTACGTGGTTGAAAACAAAGAAGTACCAGACAGTAATATTGGCGTACCTCCATTACGTAAGTACGCGAATTATCGCACCCTGTATCAAGGGGAAAGAAATTCCTCTTTTGTTTCAGACAAGGGGCACTTTTTTCCATTTTCAAAAAAGTGGGAGGATTTTTGTGGCCCTTCAACTTTCCAATCTTTAATTTCAATCATTCTGGGAGCAAATCATACCTGATATAGTGACGGACTGTAGTTTTTAAAAGTAAACAAAGTAAGTGACAAAGGAATGCGTCTCAATTGGAACGTGACCAATTGGAATATTCCCAATTGGAATGTTCCCAATTCCTGTGACATAAGATGGATTATGGAACATGTTGTTGGTTTCACACATACTTATGATGCAATACGAACATCTAAGACGTTATCTGGACATTATTTACTGGTTCAAAGCCCAGACGGGGGGGGGGCAACACCCACATTCATCAGTCAGTCATTTGAGCAAAGTGTTTACTCACAGCCGGCAAGTTGTTTTCGGAAAAATAACGAGAAGCGGCACGTGTATTGAAAACATCAGGAAACAAGGAAATAAATGATGTCTGGAAAAATTCTTAATCCTTCCCTCGCCCTTGAAGCCTGGTAAGTTCCTTATCATCTGAACCAAGATACGAACAAAAGAAAGATTTGGTAAACAACATCAGTTATGAAGACAAGGCATATTTTCAGTCTTTGGTAAAAAAATGGAAAGATGATTCATCTCTGTTTAGAGTAAAAGGTAATCTTTACCGGGAACCAACGTATTTTTTCTTTTTTATACACATTGTCATCCAGCCAGATCATTTGTCTCAAATGTATAAGTCAGGCCAATCGAATGTTTTTACTTTGTAATTTTGTAATTCCAAATTTCTAGGCATACTTGAACAAGTTTCGATGTTCATAAGCGGACCCCTTCAAACGTAGTTAATACATGATGCAGCAAATGCTAAATGGCAACGTGGTTTCTGAACACCGCGTACAAAGTAAGTATATAGAAAAGATATTGGAGACTTTATTTATTTATGTGGGTATCACAAAGCACTATAGTGATGCATTCAATTTAGTTTTGCGCAACATTGCTGCAAATGATGAGTGTCAACTGCAAGTTACCAGAGTGAGAAAATAATGTACAGTGGAGCTCCGTTACTACGGCCAAGGACGGGCCGAAAAAAATTGGCCGTATTAACGGGGTATCTTTATAAGAAAATGTATTGTCTTGGCGTTTTTCACATAGGTGGTCGTAATAAAGAGGTGACCTTATTAACGGGGTGGGTGGGGTTCCACTGTAACTATTTTCACCACAATTGGGCGGGGGGGGAGATAGTAAATAAATGTGATGGATCTAGTTCGATTTGAGGATGTAGATTGTCATTGTTTATAAGTTATATAGGTCAGCCATAAGTTATCAGATCTTATATTTAGGTCGTTAGAGTTAGGAGCTCAAACAGTGAGACATATATATATATATATATATACACCCTCGGTATATACTACTTCCCGGCATCCACTGCATGCCCCATAACGCCAACTGAAAGCCACCAATGCTGGTTTCTGTAGAGTCATACACTCGAATATTCTTGGACTTGGTTTTGCAAGGTATCTGGCTCCTTTTTTCGTGAACTAGCTTGTCTTGGATTGTATGTCGACCACATTGGGCGAGGATGGGATGGATATCCCACTTTTCTTCGTGGCGTTCGTTATTCTAGTTTCGCTCTTTTAGCGGCTAATTCTCTCTCCTGTAATATAAGTGATGAAAGTGATACATGTCAATCAGTCAATGTCTAACTATGATTGCATGGAACGTAAAGCGTGATTGTGTGACCTCGTGCGTGAAATAGTGTGAACGTGTGTTGGATGTGAATTTGGGTTCTAACGGAAAAGGACATAAAATATAACACTTGCAGGCATGTAGCAACTAGCGCGTTTTATGTGTGGATATATCTGGTTGGACCCTGCGATTCCGGTGCAGCGCTCTAATGTCGAGCTCTAACCACAAGTTCATGTATAAATGCGAAGGTGATGTGAATGTGCATCATACACTGACATCACCTTAGTATTTATGCATGAACTTGTGGTTAGAGTTCGACAACTGTCGCTCTGTAACTCAGTATGGGTAAATATCAGAATTTCGGGCATCTCACTCCATATAAATATTATTGTTGAAGAGATTTGTAGGTGGAAATTTCGAGTGAAATTTTTATACATTCCGGGGCGTAGGAACCGGGGGGGGGCACGTCCCCCCCCCCCCAATGTTTTCAAAGGACTAAAAGTGCCCTTTTTTGTGATGAAAAGTGCCCTTTTTTGTGATGAAAAATGCCCTTTTTGTACAAGCAATGTCTCTGTAAATACTAAATTAACATCAAAGGTGCCCTTTTTGTTTGGAAATTTCCAAGTTTTTAAAAAAAATTTGGTCAAAAACGTGCAATTTCGGTATGGTACGACGGGAAAATTTTTCTTTCCCCTCGTCGCCAACATTTCCGGGAAACATTTTTTAGGTGCCCTTTTCAATACCCTAAAGTGCCCCTATAGAAGCCGGTGCCCCCCCCCCCCAATCCTTTGATGCTTCCTACGCCCCTGTATACATTTCTTAGACCAAACCAACGTTTCATCGTGAACCTACCGTGCCATACTCGTAGTAATGTGGAGCTAGCTCATACAGCCAGGATGATTCAATCTAATGAAGATAATCAAAAACACTTACAGATATAAGACTTGTACGACAGTAGAAAAGTCATTGATTCTGGAACAGTTGACTAGGTTCTTTTGTTGTGTATATTAGGAAATTAACGTTAGCCGATACCAAAAAGTACATTTCAAACTTACCACTGTAACGTCTCTGATATATTCCTTAGATGTCTGTAATATTTCATGATACACAACCCTAAGCATAGAAATTGCGTTTTGTAGTTTTGTCATATAATATATATACAGTCACAAATGCAATATAGACAGCATTCACATTTGTCATAAGTATAAGTGCTGGGACAATGCCTTTTAAGGGTCAATCAACTAACAAGACACATCGACAGATAGCGTGATTCAGTAATCCATTGAATGAAATTCTCCCGTTCATTCTTGAAGAGTAAAATCGTCTGGCGTTAAACGAAAAAAAAAACAATGTAGGGCAATGCTACTTAAAGTGCCTATGCGACAATTTTTTTTATGAATGAATTGCAAAGTTCATGTAAAACCATAATATAACTTGTTTTCTAAAACTTTGTATTCTCTCCTGTATGTCAAGATTTTCGACTTTGTTTGATATACAAATGTGACTTGAATGACGTCACACTGCATAATGAGTTTTTAGAAAGAAAACGTTTCCTTGCCAAACATGTGATAATTTCATTGACATTGAAAGTGATATACTTTAAGAGCTATCAAAGCGATCATTTCGTCTGTAAATTTGAGATGAGAATTTTAACAAGCTACAACACAGTCTTCTGTAAAAGCATTATGCAGTGTGACGTGATTTAAGTCACATTTGTATATCAAACAAAGTCGAAAATCTTGACAAATAGGAAAGATTACAAAGTTTTAAAAAACAAGTTATATTATAATTTTAAATGAACTTTGCAGTTCAATCATAAAAAAAATTGTCGCATAGGCACTTTAAAGGGTTAGCTTACCATTCGGGAGGTTTCTCCGTATAAAGAACAGAAGTTGGATGGACATATAGTGCATGATTTTCTCGGATACTCCTGAAAACGAGAAATATTATTTTAAAAACTGAACTTAGAATAACATGATATGTACTGACAAAAATATGTCTTCTTTTTCTCACCTATAAGTGCCATCTGGATGTAATCTGGCGGCATTGGCGAAAAATCCTTTCACAATACATCGACGTATTGGTGTTGGATCATCTAAAGGGATCGAGCAAAATACTGCAAGTAATGTCTACTGTAACGGTGTGTTTACAAGAGGAGGAAAATTAAAGTACGTTTCTCTCTTACCGTCCGCGGATTCGATGGCAACGCCAAACGACTTGACAAGATTCTTAAGTTGTTCTCGAATTTTTACCGCATGAGAAAGTCCTAAATATGATTTACGAGTATCAGTTAAAGTGTGTATTAGGGATGGATTTACTGGGGGGGGGGAGGGGGTGCACAAGGTGTGTGTGTGTGTGTCATTTTCATTATCAAATCCATTTTTTCAATTAATCAATTTGTAAAGGCAATATCCTGTCACAAATACCACAATACCTGAACCCTTCCAGGGGGCAATGTTTCGCCTAATCTACAGAAACACCAACCTCGTTCCCAGAAAGCCCTGGGAACGAGGTTGTAGAAATACTGCTCTGCGTAGCTGCAAATGATTATGAACGTGGTCAACCGTCACACCTCGAATCATGACCATGGGTCGATGAGCATCCCCCCCCCTACCAGATCTGGCTGGATCCATCCCTGTTAACAAACCTTTGTAATTAAGAAAATTTTCATGACACCATTTGGAACTTTTCTTGAACTGAACAAAAAGTCAAAGTATTATTGATTGAAAAACCATGTGTTTCAATTTCAACTTAGCTCACAAAATGAACTACACTACCTTTAAGAAACTTTGATAGACATTCAATAGAGTTAAATGATCCCCTTCGTAAACGGAAAACTTTAGTTTCGCCCTGGCCTGTGAATAAAATTCAGAATATACATAGCACGTCCAGTTTCCAAATCATATTTTTTTATGTAAAAATTTTAAAAAAACATACAGCAGCCTTCTTCTCATTTGATGGCGTGACGAAAACATTCTTGATCTGAAGCATGGCAGCAATGGAAAGGATTTCTTCAGAACAACCAAACTCGCCTAAATATGAACACAGTTCCTGTATTCAGTTGCTTGGAAACATAGAACACGAATCGGTCTACTATTGGGGACACTTCAATACTCCATGCAACCGAACCGCCGGTGAAACCATAACCAAACTGGAGCCCAGTTTGCTCCTAGTAAACCGCAACAGCCAACACATGATTAGACCTTCCTGGGCAGTTGAGGACTTGACTGAAGCAAATACGTAACCTTACCTGATACAAGAAGCATTTTAGCAAGCATAGGTTCAAGAGGGAATTCTGCCATATTGACACCTCTAGGACTGGTCAGACAACCATCATCATCCAATGCTATACATGAAGTACCACAGGACAAAGACAGTTAGATTTATCATATATATCATGGAGGAAACAAAAAGCTTATGCGAAGATATGGACAACTATAAAATGTCATCATAAGTCATAACATCATTGACTATTTGGCTTCACTGTTTTCTATGGTTTCACTATATATAACTTCGGCAATTTACCGAAGCTATATAATATATATAAAGCTAATTAATTATTATCATGCAGTCACCTTTGTCCTTAGTTTCCAACTAAGAACTAACTGGAGATATTCAGATATTATACTCCATAACTAAATAAAGTACACTGACTACAACAGTCATCTTCACTTATTCCCTTCGCTTAAGTAAGATGACAGATAAAACTCATTTTCTGACCTTCTAATGCATAGAGTAGTTCCAGAGCTCGGACCATGTGTTCTGCAGGCGGCCTCTAAAAGAAAAAGAGATGTATACCAAGGAACAGGAAGCTAGGGGCAGAGAGGTTGCGCGAGGCCTGGGACAAAATTTTCCCAGGAGCCCTTATGACGTCATAACCGCAAAACAGGAGAAAAATGCCTCGGCAGCACTGACTAAGGTATGAGGTTACTCTGCAATGCCAATGCTATATGCTATCATTGGTTCTTACCGCCAGGAAGTCGAACCTCAACACGTTGTCAATTCCCATGGATTTCAGTTGTAGTATGACTGGTGCAAGATTTGTTCTAAAACGAAAACAAAAATTAATCAAAGGAAACTCCCACTGTTACATGCAGGGCTGCACCTTCATCGCAATCCCTTCCAATGACGTACCTTTGCATTTCTGGAACAGTTGCTGGAGAAAGGTTATGAAAGTCATCCTCTGAAAAAAGCATATTGAACAAAAGTTAGCAATATAGTATGTATTACACTTGAAATTTCTAATAGAAAGTGAAGTGCTGGGCTTTACAAAATGCGCATTAAATTCATATAATATAAACGAACAATGCACACCAAAGAAAAAAGACAACACGAAATGAACCTCAATTCTTACCCGTGTACAATCTGTACGTTTTCCCTAAAAAAAGGAAAGAAAAAAGTTTTTCTTTGCAACTTTATTGGTAACAACGTTCGTTAAAACACTATTTGCACACACGTAAAAACGCACAAGTTGTAACAATCCTGCAGCAGATTTGTATACGTACTGTAGCAATGCTGTTCCAACTATTTGTTAACAGGATGTGTTCGCACTGCTTGTTCCCAGCTTGTTGACAAGTTATCAACGCCTTGTTGGCAACTTGCTACAAGGTTGTTGAGCTCAACAGATTTGTTACAAGTTCCAACAACTTGTTATCGTCCTGCAATTCAACAATTTGTGAGTGACAACCTTGTAACAGCTTGATAAAATAACAGCATTGTTACAACTTGTTGACAAGCTTGCTACAAGCCTGTTGCGAACACATCTCGTTGACAAGTTGTGAGATTTTCACGGGTGTAGTCGAGAAATTTCCGTGTGTAGAATGACAAACCTGATCGCACGCGGCCTGCTCTGCCAGCTCTCTGATCAGCGGATGCTTGAGATATTGGCACAACTACCAGCGATTCTGTAATCAATAATATCATGATAATCAATATAACAACACAACTATTCTATCTGACATGGCATTTTGAACAGAGACATGTAGAACTTTGGATATCAGTATCCTGCTGTGATATCGTACTAACCAAGTCCAGTCTCAGCCGAGTAAGCTTTGATCTTCACAAAACCACAATCAACAACTAGACAATCATAATACATCATTTTTTAGTACTTTGCTCCAACACAGCTAGGAGGATTCAAATTGTCAATATTGCCAACTCTTCGTGTCGAAACGAGTTATGAGCACCCCCCCCATCTGACTGGATCCATCCCAGTTTACAGATATGGATTAAAAATTCACCTCTTCTGAATTTTCTTCATGAGTTATAATATTAATGAGTATTTTAAATAAATCGATATAATTATATATATCAGAATTCTTAGTAAGATAATAATGAAAACTCTTGTAGACTGCATAATCCTCACCATAAACAATACCATCAATCGTGATAGATGTTTCAGCTATATTTGTTGCTACAACAACCTATATAAAATACATAATGAATCAACTTTTGTATGGTTGATAGGCCTACACCATAGATATCTTATATATACTAGATAGCGCATCTCTTTTAGTAAAATTGAAGCCAAGAATATTCCAGCGGTTACCCCCATTTGAATAGGAAGAGATTATTTCGCTGGCCTCAGAGTGACAGAACGTAACAAAGCAACGGGTTTACTAACACTAACCCTACTCCAAACACCAACTCTAACCATAACCCCTAATCCTTACCCTAATCTAACCCTACTCCTAATTTGTTTCTAAACCGATCTTGAAGAAAAATGTTTTGACGAAATGTCATTCTGAGGTCAGCGAAATAGTTGATGCCATTTGAATAAATGGCGGCCATGTTAGTGTTTCCCACTCGCTAATAAACACTTAAAAAACAACAATAAGTAACTTTCATCATTTGAATAGTTTGAAAATGTATTTGGAATAGGTTTACCTTAATATTTAAGTTCCGTGTTTAAGAAATAGAAAACATACGAATCTTCTCATTTCATGGGAATATCCTGAGTCTGCAATCACGGCTTCAATTTTTGAATTGTAGAATAATTAGATGCACTATTATAGTGTATATAAGATATCTATGGCCTACACAATCTTCGGGGGCAAATGTCGCCACGACGATTCGCGACACTGGGCCCCACAGTCGGCATGTTGCTAACAAAATAGGAAACGTCTAAAGTTGTACTGAACTTGCCTTTCGTTCTTTTGATGACGAACGTTCAAAGATACGCATCTGTTGAATGCAGAAGAGAACTTCAGATAAACAATCACCGCAAGAAAAAGAGAGACAAGAAAGGAAATTCAAGGAATTTGTACAATGTTTAACCTATACCTGCTCGGAAAATGGCAGTCCACTGTATATCGGTAAAACTTTCAGAAATCCATGACCTTTAGGCAATGCTCTTGCTTTCTCGCTGGAAAATAAATTGTGGCTTTAGTGTCGCTGTCGTCAGAGCGAGCGCCTTTCACGTCTGAGTTTTAACTTATTATGAAGCAATGACTAAAGAAATATATAACATTAATGCTCCACAAACATTTAAAAGTATATGTGTCAAGTGTCACTCGTGTCGTCCGTTGTCCAGTCTTGTGGATAAAATGTGTTGTAAATAATGTAATGTTGTTTTTTTTTGTTGTTTTTTTTATATATATATATACATATATACATATTATTAGGGACTCTGTAAATGGAGCAATAAGCTCTGTAGGGTTAACCTGTCATTTATGACTAAGTTTGTAAAAAAAAAAAAAAAAAAAAAAAAAAGATCGTGGGTTCGATTCTCGCCGCTCCTGGTACTCCGGTTTCCTTACACACAGGGAATGTTAACAGAGTGGGTCCCATGAGTTAAGCCCCAAACTAACCATAGCTGTAGCTGTGCTCCGTGATCAGACATGAGTCATAAGATGGCTGTCGGGCGCCTTTAATAAGCCTCGGCCAGATTGAGTTGCGTCCTTCGCAGGGACGCCGGAACTGGGGGCAGCTGCCCCTCTTGCCTTTTGCTAGGAGGGGCAAGGGGGGCAGAAGTGCCCTTTGAGTTATAAAATTCTACCTGATAAATCACGCTTCCAGTGATGCTTTTTGCATGGGCAAAACCATGAGGTGTGACCTTCAATGTGACCTGATTAAGTGCGTTTGCTTTCATTGGCAAGTCAACACATAGTTGTAGGTTTATATCTTCACCGGTGTCTACTGAGGTGCCCTTTGGTTTGCCCCCCTTGCCTTTTTATCGTTCCGGCGTCCCTGGTCCTTCGTCCTTCGACTCGATCAGGTCGAGCTGCGTCCTTCGCAATTCAGCTCAGCTTTCAGCTGCAAGTAAGGATTGGCACATGCACCCTCCCAGATATTCATGATTTTACAACTGTTACAATATAGATGTGGAAACCTTTCATGTTAATATATGTAATTATGATAATACTATACTCACATTATCATGGAAACAGCACTTTCCACTTCATCCTAATGGAAAATTGCTGAGAGTTAAAAAAATAATTACAAAATTACACTAAGAATTACACAAAGTCTTACTTGTCCGGTTAGGAAAACCAAGATATCCCCAGGACCTTCTTCTAAGTGAATTCCAATGACGGCATCCACACTCGCTTTGATATAGTCAGGAACGGGACTGAAATTAAAATTATTGCATGCTACTTGTGTATCATGCCAATCATGACCTCTTACGGAGCTTTAAACCCTGGGCAAACTGGGAGACATTGTTGCAGAGATATTGTTTCCTAGCCATGATTCTCCAAAAATGGCAAACGAGGAACCATTGTTCTCTAGCCGTGTTTCCCGAAGATGGGCAAGCCAGGAAACAGTGTTCTTAATCATATTTCCTGAAAGTGGACAAACCAGAAAACCATGTTTTCGCAATAAAAATCACACTTGGAGGACCAAATATGTTTCTGAATTGCAATGTTCCCAAGAATGGGGGAACGGGGAAATCTTTAAATGTTCCCACAAGAATCGCGTGATAATGGTGAATACCTTAAAACATAGTAGATGTCTGTTGGAAACGTCCTTCCTTCCACCGATAAGATTGCTGCAGTGTCCTTACTGAAAGAAATTTAATATGACAGTTTATTTTTGGTAAAATGCATTCATGCATTTTTTCATTTTGGTACAGATCGACTACAAACCTTTTGTCTTTTGTAATATTCGTGTTGAAGAAATCTCGAAACATCTAGATAATATATGCCCAAATTTCAGGGTGGGATTTACCGTGGGGGCAGGGGGTGTGCACTCCATCTAGTGGTGTCTATCACTCCCTAAGTCCAGCACCACCCTACTTGATCATACATTTTCTACTTTTCCAATAGCGATTAGCGGAACTTCCACTGTTTGTCGATTTGTTGAAATGAATTAATTGATTTGTGAGTTCACGAGAAACTACTCATGCTTCAGTTAAATATCATGGTTAAATATATTGTAAACATGTCGAAGTTGTTATCAGCCACATTTTCAAATATACTTCAACAAGCAAATGTACTACAGCACTGTGCTACAGCAACTGTCCATTCACGCATACGTGATATAAATCCGATATATAATTGTAAACTAAATAAATGGTAATGTTGGGAGAGTAGTAAGGCTCCCTCCTTGCAGATGAGGCTAGATCCCCGCCCCTGACACATTTTCGAAAACGTGATAAAAAGAACAATTATATATCGCATGGTAACGCCTTTGTCCTCGTGCTAACTTTCGTGGATGGTTTTTGACAATACCTCGGCATCCATTGTGGCTGATGCGACAATAAGCTTTAAGTCATGTCTTTTCTTCTGAATCTATGAAAAACAAAACAAGCAGAAACAATAGATAGTCTGATTGTCGTAGTTACTGGATGACAAAATTGTTACTTACCTTTTTGAGCAGGCCAAGTATGACGTCAGTATACAGCGTCCTCTCATGTACTTCATCTAACATTATCACACTGTACTTTGTCAAAAGAGGGTCGGCCATCATTTCACGGATCAACATTCCATCAGTAACAAACTATAGACAAACATAAGGCCGATTCAGCCTAGACCTAGGCCTTCTATTTTTATTGATACTTACCAAACGCTAGCCCCGAAATTGACGAAACCTGCCAAAGCCAGCCGAGTAAAGGCCTAGGCTGAGGCCGATTCACACTACACAATGCAACCTGCTTACAACTTGAGTTGTACTGTGTGAATCAAGCACACAAGTCACCTACGACAATGTTGTGTGCTTGATTTACACAGTACAACTCAAGTTGTAAGCAGGTTGCATGCGAAGTTTTAGGCAAAAGTTGTGTATAGTGTAAATCGGGCTATACAGTTTTAGTCCGAAAGTAAACCGTGGCCTAACTGCAACGAACTAACCTTGCAATTATATATCTAGTAATATTTTACCTTTATGGCTGTCTTTTGTGGGTCTGTACAATCATCAAAACGGATTCGATATCCAACTTCTTGACCGATTAATGTTCCTTTTTCTTCGGCGACACGCATCGCAACCTAGATGATATCGTACAACTGTCAATATTTCAATGGACAATTATACAAACATCGTGAGGTATCTAAATAAAAAGCGAATCTTATTTCCTGAGCCCTGGTCATACGAGTTGCATGAGAGTTGACTGCATATTACGCGCGCATGACTCCTTAAGCTCTGCCGGTCAACCAAGAATCAGAGTTACATGGCCAGCGAGAGTTTGCATGAGAGTTTTCTCAACTCTCGTGCCCCTGTCAAACGGGAACAAGAGTTGACTAGAGTCCAATGGATATTCCCGCTCGCCTACCGAAAATTCTTATCAACTCTCAGCTCGATGTTCCTAAGAGTCGATAGGAGTTGGCTGTTAGCGAGAGTTGAAACTCTCATCAACGTTCATCCTCGTCTGACTGGTGTTTACTTCCCGAGCACTGACCAGGGCAGAAATAATGACAACCACTGAAGTGAAAACTAGAGTAATGGCTATAGCCAGTCAGCCAAACTTTGTTAATTCCAAAAGTGGGGATCCACTGTGATCCAAAGTGTTTATCCCTAATCTTAAATTTATCAACCCTTCCCCCCCATCCACCACCACCACAAGCGTGACGAAAAAGTGACATACTGTAGTAGCAGCTACTCGTCTTGGTTGAGTGATACCAATGATTTTACCATTGCCAGCCAAACCACTTTCATGCAAATACTGCAGTGAGAATAGAGAAGTAGGCGATGAGATAAAGAGAAGATCAAATTGGAAAAAACAATAGCTGGTATATTAATACATTAGATATGAAATTTGATTGTATTGAAAATACAATAAATTAGTCAGAATCAAATACAGTATTAACACAAATTTCAAAAATTCTACTTCACAAGTTTTCATTTAGCTTGATACCAAATTGTTGTGTTACTGTACCTGTGGAATCTACAAATGAAGAAAAAAAATTGGTCTTAAATCTTTCGTTGTATTACGTTTTTGGTGACAATCTACCACTGATTCTTTGCCTGTTTGTGCTCATATATTGATCTCCTAATCACTTCATGTCCTTATTTATGTTTCATCCTGCTTCTCATTTCATTCAATTCCACCTCTTTCTTTCATTTTTCCTTAGTTCTAACTCATTGTTTTCTTGCATTCCATTCCACCACATATGCTTTTGTGTCTTTTTATTTCTTTTACACATACTCATTGTTCTTCCTATCATGTCATCCTATCATTTTAATCAACCTCACAAGTTCTTGTAAATTAATTAAAATAACTTATTTCACCCATTCTCCACTCCTTTAAATTTTTCTTTCTACCAATCACTCAACCCCTAATTCTTTCAAATCAACACCATTCTGATGCTAATTATAATCATTCAGTAAGTACCTGTGTTGATTTCCCACAGCCCGTTTCACCAACAATAATGACAGTCTGGTATTTTTCAACAAGGTAAAGGATATTGGTTCTATGCTGGTGTAGAAGAGTACATAACATTTTGTTCATTTTATTTATCTGTTAAATTGTAAAGCTAGAGAAGTTGAAATTTGACTTCCATTACTGCTACCACTCACTTGCTCTTTGTGCATCTGATTCTAGTTAATTGGGTAGATTAAACACATCTGATTGATTAAAGGTCTTTTAATGGTGGTGGAAGTCAAATCGGAACCCCTCTAGCTATTCCCTGGGGTTAGGGGACTTGGCAATGCAAAATGTAACAGAAAACTAAAACTAAATGAAACTGTATTTTTAAATTGGATAAGAGGTCTGGTAAGGGTCATCAATTTTCCAGAGCACATTCCACATAAACTGTGTGCTGAAGGAATGCCAAGATACACTAATATTTACTACGAATATACATAGTAATTTTTCAAAACTCATAATATTATCTTTGCCATGACCTACATATATCAATGCAGGCTGTACATGGTTCATTTTAGTCCAACTGGTGTTACTTAAAGGGAGGAAACAGGGTACTTGAAGAAAAGCTGTACCATATGTTTTAGAGTCAAACTGAAAGCACCCTTCTCGTACATGTCGGTGTGAATGAGTTGGGTTTATAATCAGGCAACCATGCACACATTGCAGGAATCAAACCAAAGGTGAAAGGCACACATGAACTGTTTGCTAGCCACTATACCATAAAATGTCTCAATAACGAAAGATTTTAGTGTTATTCAAATATACCAAACCCCGTTTATTTCCCTGCCCCCCACCCCAGTCTGGAAAGTTTGCAACATGCAGCCGAGATCTTGGGTGCACAGTTTTTATGTTCCCAATGTATTTACTATTAAATTTTCATAATCTTGGACGCGCAACTTCCAAACTTTCCAGTCTGGCCCCTCCCCCCTCCCTAGAAAGGACATTTATCATTACATTACAGCAATTAGTTTACTGACAGTATACCACTACTCTGATTGAACAGATCATTGTAATGATTTTGTAATACAAACATACTTTATATACAGGCAATCTTTGCCTCTGTCTAGCAATAGAAGATGCTACATCTGGGTTGAATGCAACCAAGCCTGCCCCTTCCCCCTCCTTCCCTGTCCGTTCCAATTGAATGGACGAACCAGGAGCCTCGGTTCCTAGAAATAAACCAAACCAAACATCAAACAAACTCAACCACCTGCAAAATACTAAAATAATATCAACTCTGTTGCTTTTGATCTAACGTTTCTAACCTGGTTTCCAAAACTGGACTTTCAATCCACCTGCGGCCATATTGGAATCCCGCGTGTACCACACGAATGCTATTGAAATATATTGCATTTTTTTAGGGCGGCCATGTTGAAAAAAAACGATTCAGTAAATAGCTAAAAATTTATGCATTTCCTGATTAATACAAAGACGTTCAGACATATTAATAAAAAGTCCAATTCGTAGATTCCTATTGTATCTAATTTTCAAAAAATGCTCGACTAGTTGTGAAAAAAATGTAAAAAAATCAAGATAAAATGTGAAAATTAATATCATGAAAATTTAATGTAGCCCACAGTGCTTTGCGGTAAACCTATATATTCTGTGCCTCGGCGGGAAAATCGAAACGTTCCGATTCAGAGTCATCTTTGAAATTTGTTTATAAATATTTTAATAAAACAATAAAAACGAACAATTTTCGTCGGTTCTTCTTTTGGATTAAAGTAAATAAAAGAACCGTTTATTATCAAACGCATTATGCCATCGAGAAAAAAGCGAACGGTAGCGAAATATGCTAAAACAAAGCGAGAGCCTGTGTTAAAACTACCCAAAGAACTAGGCGCTTTTGACACCTCTTTGACCGCGGAAGAACAAGAGAGCAAGTTGAACAACTATATTGAGGACTACCAACTTCAAGGTCTGTTCAAATTAAAGATTATGCAATAGCCTGAATCGTAATTTAGTATATTATAAAATGTATAATATGTATAACAAAATACTGTGAATTTATATATATTGTTGACATTGTTATTTACCTATTACCGTCGTTTGCATCTAAACGTGTCCTCCCTTTCATTAGTGAAATTGTCTGGCGTTAGACAGAGAGAAATAATAAAGTAGAGCATAATGCAACTTAATGGGTTACTTAGACACATGGGCAGGTAGTCTAGCTGATTGAGCACCAGCATTCCCTTGATCAGTAAAGCATCTGGCATATAGTGGCATTTGACAAAGTGGGGTTTTTATTAATAGTCGGCGACACTTGCCGATGTCGATTTTGTCTATCATAATTCATTGCAGACTGTCACAACAATTGTTTTGTTGTGACAGTCGGTGGTAGTTGCAGACACTTTGCAATTATAATATTAAAACAAATTAAAACACTACTAATTTGCAAGTTGTTGGCGACAGTCAGTAGGGAGTTTAAGCTTCACACATTTCCGGGAACGGCAAACGGCAGGTTCGAACTTTCTTGGCAAAATTTTTGTTGAACGTTTTCATTTCATATATTTTTCTCTCTTGCGCCGAAAGAATAATTATGTATTTCAGTTTTAAAACAGCAAGTTCACTTACTCTTTATTGCCTGATACCGTAAAATTTTTCTTTGCCTGGTGTTTGCCATATTTATTGACACTAATGATATTAATTAAACTAGCCTTTAGGGCATACACAATGCAAATTAGCCCATTAAGTGGCAGCACCTACCCTTGATGAGTAAAATCATTTGGCATTAGACCATGGACAGAGTAAAACACTTAAAGGTTAACAAGATGCATGGACAGATAGTTTGATCAGGGGCGTAACTACAGGGGGGGTTTGGGGGGTGTCTCACCCCCCCCCCCCAATCTTTTGAAACGGTACTCTCGTCGGGCAAAAACTAAGAAAAGGTTGGGCAAAACTACTGAAAATCTAGTCAAAAATTTTAAGAAATTAAAAAGAATTGAAAAGACTCGAAGATTTTCATAGTTTCTCAAAAAAAAGTCATTCACCGCCTCAATATCCTATGGCAAATCATCTGGATTGGCAGGGCAATGAAAGATTTTAAATTTCACATATTGTTAAAAAAAATAAGGGTTTCATGCATGTGTTAACAAGAATTTCTGCCCCCCCCCCCCCCCCCCCCCCC